GCTTAATAGTTAAGCAAGGTAGTTACTAAATAGAGCAGACTATAAATAGTAGAAAAATCTTCTCTTGTAAGATTGAGTGATAGAAAGAAGAAAACATTCATTTGAGTCTCTCTCTTCTTCATCGAAGTTCTTCTACTGAAACCCTAGATTTCCTTTATGTTAATATGGTATCTAAGCCAGTGATTCCTTTGTGGGGTTACTGATTTCTTAGCAAGGTGTGTTTTGGGATTTGCTATGTTCATTGGTGCTGAATTTTTTTTTTGTGATCGGTGATTCTTGCGTGCATCGGTGTTGTTGGTACTGCGTCGATTGGGAATTTTTCTCGAGTCGGTGATGATTTCTTGAGTCGATGCTATCGATGCTGCTTCAATTGGGTTCTTGGTTCTTGCATCCATGGCGGTGTTGTTCTGAGTTTGTGCTTTAGGTTCTGTTTTTCTTCCTCTTAGTGTATTGTAGTAATATAAAGGTCAATGCCATAATATGTTGTGCATCTGTTAAAATTGAGATGATTTGAAGGCCAATGCCATAGTTTTGTTTGTACATCTGTAAAATTGAGAAGATTTAAAGGCCAATGCCGTAGAATTGTATTTGTGTATCTGGGTGGTCAGAATTGTTGATTAAAGATCAGTGCTAGTTTAACTACTTGTCTGGTGATTGCTTGTTCAAGAAATTGTGGATTGTTGATTTGCTGATTCCATCATGAATTCATCATTTATTAAAAAGTGTTCTTGGTATGCTCACCATTCGTTTAGGTGATTCCAACTACTTTAAATGGGCATTCCAATTTCAGTCAGTATTAAAAGGTTACAAGTTATTTGACCACTTTGATGCACATCTGTGTGTCCTCCAAAGTTTGTGGTCAATACCGAAACGAGGGTTACTAAATAAGTTACAACTGCATTTCAAGAATGGGAGACTACTGATCTTGCTTTGCTTAGTCTTCTAATTGCCACATTATCTGATGATGCTATTGAGCATGTTCTTGGCTGCAAATAGCTCATGAAGCTTGGACTACTCTTGAAGATGGGTATGCTACTGTGTTTAAATCCAGAATTAATATGCTCAAAACTGAGTTTCAGACTCTTCAAAAGGATGCTGACTCTATTGACAAGTATATGTCAAGGTTGAAATCCATTCGAGATCAACTCATTGCAGCAGGGGAATTTATTTATGAGAATGATATAATCATTGCTGCATTGGCCGGCCTACCAAAGGAATACTCCATTACTCGAACAATCATTTTGGCTAGGAAGTCCTCTATATCTCTAAAAGAATTTCGGGCTCAATTGTTAAACATTGAAAGGGAAATTGAGGGCATGGAAAACACTCTGTCTCATTCAATGGCAACTATGTTTATGCAAGGAGGTTCTTTTTCACAAAACTCTGGAGTTAGTTCTTCTTCAGGTTCTAATTCTCATGATGGTTTGTCATCTACCACTGTTGGTACAATCACACCAGGATCATATTATCGTACTCATGTTCCCTCACCAATGCATTCTCATACTTCTGGCATTCCATCTATGCCTTAACAATTTCCCCCTCCATTCCATCTCCATCAACTATGCCTTATGGTTATGGTTTTGGATTCACTGGAAGTGCTTCAAACAATTTTACTCCAGAGCCTAGGTCTTCTAATAATTCTAGGAATTCTTTTGAAGGGCAACAAGAGGGGGCTTTAAGCCATTTTACAACAAAGTTTGAGGTTCTGGTCCCAACTTTAGATAAGGATGGCAATCTTGGATTGGCAATACAGATCACAGATTCACTATGCAACCTGAGTGTCAGATATGTCAACGTTGAGGTCACACGGCTCTTAACTGTTTTTACAGAAGTCCAAATGTTACACCCAATTTAGTTTGTATATTAAATTTGTGGCAAATGTGGTCACATCTCTCTTGAATGCTATCATCGAGGCAATTTTGCATATCAAAGAGCTCCTCTATTATCATCTCTTCAAGCACCACATGACTTTGCATATCAATCATCATCTTCTTCATTTCCAGCTTCGACTTCTTCTGATTCCAGCATCAATGTTATGGCAGCACATCACATTGCTCCTTACCTAACTGGAGATGCTTGGATAGTTGACACTGGTGTTACTCACCATATGACATTTGACATTAACACTCTCAATCATGCTACTTCATTCGAAGGATCTGATCGAATTAAAATTAGAAATGGTCAAGGTTTAACTATTGCACATATGGGTTCTACAACTCTTAACACTTGTTTGTACCATACACCAATCTCGAAACTACTAAACAGCATACCGTCAAGGACCCACAAGACTTTTCCTCCAACCAGGAGGCCAATCACAACACGACACATGTCCGTATCAGAAGCTAATCACAACGCGACACGTGTCGATATTAGAGGCCAATCACAACACGACACGCGTCAATGTCAGAACAAAGCTAGAAACTCTCTTCTATAAAAGGGGATCATTCTCCCACAATAATCCCTAATGTCATTTGTACTAAATTATTCACTAGAACTTACTAAAAGAGAGCTTGAACCTATGTATTTGTGTAAACCCTTCAAACTAATGAGAACTCCTCTACTCCGTGGACGTAGCTAATCTGGGTGAACGACGTACATCTTGTGTTTGCTTCCCTGTCTCTACTCATTTACATATTTATCCACACTAATGACCAGAGCATTCTAACAAAAGTCACAAACTTGACACTTTCTATTGTACCAAAGTCATCGCCGATTTTGTGCATCAACAACACTCATTCACATTCTTTGAAATTGCATAAAGTTCTTCATGTGCCTCATATTACTGAAGGTCTTCTTTCTGTGAAACAATTATGCAAAGATAACAGATATTGGTTTATCTGTGATGACATTTGGTTTTTTGTGATGGACAAGGTAACAAATGAGATCCTTTACAGAGGAAAGAGTAGGCCTAATGAGTTGCTTCAGATTCTTGTGTTCAAACCATTGTCTTCTTCAACTTAGTTTTCAGCTTCTGCACATCTTGGACAGCGAATAAAGTCATCTCTCTGGCATCAGCGATTGAGGCATCCTACAAATGAAGTAATGTCATCCATGTTACATAAGTCTAAGATTTCTCATGTGTTAGATGATACATTTCGAATGTGTACAGATTGTATTCATGGCAAAATGGCACGATTGCCTTTTTCTCAGCAGTCCAATAGGTGTTTGTTTTCTTTTGAAAAGATCCATTCCGATGTTTGGGGTCCTTTTCCTATAAAATCCGTTAAAGGTCATAGATATTATATAACATTTGTAGATGGTTGTGCAAAATTTGTGTGGATTTTCCCACTTTGTAATAAATCAGATGTGTTTAGTATTTTTGTGAAGTTTCATGCTTATGTGGCAATTCAATTTGGTTCCAATATTAAAACTCTTTTATCTGATAGGGGTGGTGAGTTTATGAGCAAACAATTTCAGAACTTTCTTGCACTAAAGGGTATGGTATATCAGATCTTTTGTCCTCATACACCTTAACAAAATGGATTTGTTGAGAGAAGACATCGACACATAATAAAGACTGCCATTACTTTGTTAAATGTAACAGGATTGTCTCAAGAGTTCTGGTTTTATGCTTGCGCTCATGCAGTATATTTAATTAATAGAATGTCATCTCCTTCACTTCAAATGAACTCTCCTTATTTTCTACTTCATAAAAAACATCCATAATTGGTTCATTTGAGAATTTTTGGATCAACTGCGTACCTTTACCTCAGACCATATACTCAGAACAAATTACAACCGAGATCTGCATTATGTATCTTTCTGGGATATGCTGTTGGTTATAAAGGCATTCTCTGTCATAATTTGCAGTCAAAGAAGTTGATACTTTTGAGACATGTGGTCCATTATGAAACAATGTTCCCTGCTAAACTACCTTCATCATCCTCATTTAAGACATCAGTGCAGTCTCTATCACATAGTTCCTCATTAGTTATTGTTCTAATTCCCCTATTTGGTACATCTGCAGGTTCTACAAATCCAGTGCCTCCATCTACTAATACTGAATCTCTACAATCTGTTTCATCAGAGATGTCAACAAATGCCAGCTTACCTTATGGTTTTGAACAATCACAGGAATCTGAAACATCCACTTCAACTCCTTCTCATGATCATTATCCTCTATTACATGTCCTCAACTCATCTCAGCTCTAGGTACTTCTTCCTTCTCCACGATCGTCCATTCAAACTAGACTCAAAATTGGTGCTATTACTAGGAAGGATTACTCTGCCTATCTTGCTGCTGTCTTAGAACTTCAGTCTTTGCATATTGATGAAGATTTTTTCACCTTTTCTGGTTATACGTTTCTGGCTCATTGTTGATGTTGATGAGCCTAAAACTTTTAGAAGTGCTAGCTCTTATTCTTAATGGCAGAAAGCCATGCAAGAGGAGTATGATGCTTTACAGACACAAGGAACTTGGGTTTTAGTTCCTCCACCTGCAAAACAGGTCTATTGTTGGTTGTAAATAGGTTTACAAAATTAAACGAAATGCAAATGGTATTGTAGCCAGATATAAAGCTCGTTTAGTGGCTCAAGGCTTTACTCAAGAACACGGTGCTTATTATTCAGAAACGTTCAGTCCCGTAGTGTGTCATTCTACAGTTAGACTTATCGTAGCTTTAGCCACCACTTGCAAATGGAAGCTCAGGCAGTTAGACATTAAAAATGTCTTTCTTCATGGTGATTTACATAAGGAGGTTTATATGCATCAACCACATGGATTTGTGAATTCTCGATATCCCTCTCATGTTTGCAAACTTGTCAAATCCCTTTATAGGCTTAAATAAGCTCCCCGAGCATGGCATTCTAAATTCACAGAAGTTCTCCCTATCTTGGGATTTGTAGCTTCTTAGTCTGATGCTAGCCTTTTTGTGAAACATAATGGTCTTCATGTTGTCATTCTACTTTTATACGTAGATGACATTATACTTACAGGCTCTAGTCCTACTCAAATTCAAGAGGTGGTTACTAACCTTGAGACATTCTTTGATCTTAAAGACATGGGACAACTCACTTATTTTCTTGGTCTTCAAATTCAATATAAGGAGAATGGTGATTTGTGTGTCAATCAAACTAAATATGCCAAAGAGTTGCTCATCAACGCTGGCATGGAACATTGTAAACCCTCTCCTACACCCTCAAAACCTCATACACAACTCCTTATTTCAGAAGGTACACCTCTTTCAGATACTACTCTATATCGAAGCCTTGTCAGAGCCTTGCAGTATCTTACCTTTACTCGACCTGATATAGCTCATGTTGTTGGTGTTGTTTGCCAATTTATGCATCAACCCACTGACTCTCATTATTACTTGGTTAAAAGAATAATGCGATGTATCCAGGGCACATTACAATGTGGTTTAACATACAAGTCAACCACTAATCATACCATTTTAGCTTTTTCTGATTCCGACTGGGTGACTAATATCAATACTCGCAGGTCCATTACTAGATTTGTGGTTTATTTAGGATCCAATCCTGTGTCATGGCAATCTAAAAAGCAACCTTCTGTTTCTAGAAGTTCAACTAAGGCAGAATACAAAGCCTTAGCTCATTGTGCAGCTGATGTTTGGTGGATTCGGTCATTACTGAAGGACTTAAATGTGTTTCTGCCTTCTCCTCCCATTTTACATTGTGACAACCTTTCTGCGTTAGCATTAACTTCAAATCCGGTGTATCACTCTCGTATCAAACATCTTGATACAGACTATTACTTTGTGCGAGAGAAGGTTCAAAAAGGTGATTTGGTTGTTCAGTACATTCGTACCAAGGAGCAGGTTGCAGACATATTCACTAAGGGTCTTCATATCCCTTCCTTTGTTCATCACTGTTACAATCTTAACCTTGGGAGTCCTGGTTCAGATTAAGGGGGGCTAATAACTGTAAAGATCAAAAGGTAGTTAACATGCCATGTGGCAAGTTTGTAATGGATAAGATGAATGTATAGTTGCTTAATAGTTAAGCAAGGCAGTTACTAAATAGAGTAGACTATAAATAGTAGAAAAATCTTCTCTTGTAAGATTGAGTGACAAAAATAAGAAAACATTCATTTGAGTCTCTCTCTCTACATTTCTCTCTCTTCTTCATCTACTAAAACCTAGATTTCCTTTCTTTTAATAGATAAACCATTACTACAATTTTCTCGTAATGCCAATACGAATAAAATAATAAATAGAGAAATGGGGGGTGTGTTTATAATATTGAAAAAGTTAACCGGAAAGTAACGCAAAATATAATATACAGATACAATTGGGAATTTTCAGAATTACACATTTTAGACAAACACAGCGGAGAGTTGGAGACCCTCTTTTGAAGTTTTGGGTTGTGAAGCCCAAGAAGTTCAACAATCTCTGTAACCATGGTTCTCGAGGTTAGCCCTTTTCTTCCTCTTCTTCCGAAGTTTCAATTTTTTAGGGTTTCGCATACAAATTTCTGATGATTATATACTCAGGCGACTATGATCTGCGTCGACAATTCCGAATGGATGCGAAACGGCGATTACTCTCCCTCCCGATTGCAGGCTCAAGCTGACGCCATTAATCTCATCTGTGGTGCCAAAACCCAGGTTTTATTTCTATTTTTAATCAAGTTTTTCTCTTTACCAACTTGTAAAACCACTTCAATTTTTCAAAAATGGTGTTTGTAAACTGGGCAGGCTAATCCGGAGAATACAGTTGGGGTATTGACAATGGCGGGCAAAGGGGTTCGGGTTTTGGCTACTCCAACCTCTGATCTTGGCAGGATTTTGGCTTGCATGCATGGTATAGTTTCTTAATTCATAACTAATTTGCTAGTTTGGTTCAGTTTAAATTCGAAAACTTTATATGTTTAGCTTACTTGTGGAGTTAAATAGCTGATCAATCTTTATCAAGGAAACAGTTGTAATGGTTTTGTTGAATATGAATGATCATACTCTAAGAGGGACATTATAATCCAGAGCTGTAACTTGAATTTTGGAGTGAAACTTGAGAAAGCTTTAGTACTAGATATTATCGTGTATGAATGTGAGACTGGATCTTACTATCCACAGAATAAGTAATAAGAGATGGTGAGGCCGTTTTAAGTGTGATTTGTGTTCTTTTGTGTGCTGGATTTTGTCTAAGTTTTAGTTTGTTAGGTACTTTATTATCTCTTCATTGTGGAAATCGTTCCATCGTGATGCCCGTCAAATTACCCCTTTTTTAGTTTGGTTAATTTCTTTGTGGTTCTCTAATTCCTATTGTATAGGTCTGGAGATGGGAGGTGAGATGAACATAGCAGCTGCAATCCAGGTAGCTCAGCTGGCTCTTAAGCATCGTCAAAACAAAAATCAACAACAGCGGATTATTGTTTTTGCTGGAAGGTATATAGTGCTAACTTCTAACTTTTCCTTTCTGTTTTGCTTCTTTTGTGTTGTTGACATCAACCTCTTATACCGTGTTCAGTCCTGTTAAATTTGAAAAGAAGTTGTTGGAATCGATAGGGAAGAAATTGAAAAAGAACAGTGTTGCTCTTGACATTGTTGATTTTGGTGAAGAGGATGATGGGAAGCCAGAGAAGCTGGAGGCCCTTCTGTCTGCTGTTAATAATAATGAAAGCAGTCATATAGTACACATCCCTCCTGGTCCAAATGCTCTCTCGGATGTTCTTATAAGGTGTGTGTTTATTATTTTTTCTCTTGTCTGTTTGTATATCATCTTGTAATGCCAATTATAAAATTATTTGTTGATGGAACTAATTGCAATATAGGTTTAGATTCATGCTATTGTTTATAAGAGCAATGCATGTTATACGAAGAAAGAATGGAGAAGTGAGAAGAGTAGGTATTCTGTTAAAAGGAGAAGTTGTGCAAGAACATGTATATAAGCTCAAAGTATTACTTATTGAATTACTTCTAGGAAAATCAATAGGTGTAAGTTTCTACTTTTCTTTCTATCTTCACACATGTTCTATGTGTCAATTGGCTGGAATTGTTGTTGGATAACCTAGTGAACACGTCACAGCACAGCGTATAATTATATTATGCCTCCTGTGATATGAAGTTTTTCTTATTTAATGGCAGTACACCTGTATTTACTGGTGACGGAGAAGGAGGAAGTGGTTTTGCAGTGGCGGCGGCAGCAGCAACTGCTGCTGCTATTGGTGGCTCTGGGTATGACTTTGGAGTTGATCCCAACATTGATCCTGAGCTTGCTCTTGCCCTTAGAGTTTCTATGGAAGAGGAAAGGGCTAGGCAAGAAGCTGCTGCCAAAAGAGCTGCTGAAGAAGCTGGTGGGAAAGGAGGGGAACCGTCATCCAAATCAGAAGATATAACCATGACAGATCAAGCTAATGTTTCTTCTCCCCATGAGGATAAGAAACATACTGATAATATGGTTGGTTTCAGTTCCTCCTTTGATTTTTTTTGTTATGCATGCTTGCATGATCTTGTATGGTTCTTAAAGTCTATATTGTTGTCTTTTCTGTCGTCATTTATTATCTTTCAAAGAACTGTTATAATTTGAATTGTCCTTGGCTCATGATATGTGTGATAGGTTGATGAGAATGACTTGCTGAAGGAGGCTCTTGCAATGTCAATGAACGTCACTGGAACTGGTCATTCAGCAGGTGATACTGAGATGTCCGAAGCAACTAGTACGGATCAGGAGTTGGCATTAGGTGTGTTCTTTTGTTTCTTACATTTTATATTGTTAGTTTTGTGTGGTAACTTGAGCTTCTTTTACCTTTTTGCTTGTGGAGATCTGTTTACAGGATGCCTCTGTTCCGTTCCATGCACATTCGTTTAACCCGAGATGTATCCTCTTACAAACTTCAATTTGTACAAGTATTCTTGTATGATTCTTGGATCGTATTCGTTTTAATAGATTCTAGCTATCTCTATAGTCATTTGACTTTAAAGAAGTAAGCATTACCTTCAGAAGAATAAGACATTCCTTAGTGGTCTACTTGCTTTATGTAATTCACTGTCAGCTGTTGTGACTAGTGGTATGGTTTTCTTAATTCCAAATCTATGAATTATGGATTCACGCCAATTCATACCCATGGCTGCCCTGAGAACATGAATCATTTACTAGTTTGGTGTAGTTGGGCGTCAAAATGTGAAACACCTATCATGTGACCTTTTTTGGTTCTTCCTTTTACCTTTTGTCTATTTAATTAATGTGGCCTTTAATTTGACAATCTTAACTTTGACAAAGTGATATTTGTTTCGGCTTGCTTATTATATCTTTGCTGCATGCAGCTCTTCAAATGTCGATGCAGGAAAGTGCAGGGGAGCCATCCTCCCAGACCGATGCGAGCAAGGTGTTGGAGGATCAGTCTTTTATATCATCTATCCTTGAATCTGTATGTGTAACAGAACCTAACTCTTTTACTATATATAGCTATTTTTTCTGTTGCTTCTTTTCTGATATGTTATTTTTCTTACAGCTTCCAGGAGTTGACCCCAACGATCCTTCAGTGAAAGATCTTCTTGCATCTCTGAAGAATCAGTCTGAGGTGTGTTCACAAACCTTCTACATAAACTTCTTGCATGAATGGTTATGATCCTGAATTTTCTGTCACAAAATTCATCTTTTGATTTGGTGTTAATATCTGTTCTTGTAAGTTTCTAGATGTAAGTTTTTTGTTTCTTCCAAACGAAAAGTTTCTAGAATTTACTTTCAACAACTAAATAGTTTCTCTTCTATGTAATTGCTGTCCCAGCAGAAGGACAAAGAAGAACCATCGAATGAGGACAAATGAAGATTGTGACTAGAACGACTTCTGTATCTTGAAAGTAAGCATTCAGATTCTGAGGGAGGCTTCTTTAAATTGTGGGAGGATGATACAAGAACAGATGTAGTTTAGGGTTTTAGTGATTATACTTTAATCAAATTATTCTGCATTTATATTCGTGTTGAGCAGAACTTAAGCAATGGGATGAACTCTTCCAAACTTCTTGACATCATTTACAGTTGTTTTATTGGACAAAAAAAGAAGGATAAGAACAGAGAGATTTCCAGATTCCATATGTTTGCTGTGTTTTAATAGTCTGCAATACGCTGGTAGTGGTTTACAAGTGGTCAGCTGTTTTTCGATAAAATTTGCTCTATCATACAACAGCTCATGGAAACTAACGTTTTCTTACTGGCTGCTAATAGAATGACTACTTGTTTGATTTAGATGCCTTTTTGTTAAGATTCACCAATCTAAAAGCTTTGAATCTCATCCGTGTGGATATGAATTTCGGGTTCTTATGGTCTATGCAATGTCTTTCAGAGGCCTTCCAAGAAATTTCATATGCATTGAGGCCAGCATTTGGTAGCAGCGGTAAATTTTTGTCTAGCTTCTCAAAGGAAATGTCTTTTGACATTTTTGTGTAGCCTTGTACTATTTATTTGCTGTTCAGCTAGTTTTGATTGAAAATTGCACGGGAAATATGGATAATAGAACAGGTTACAAACTTTTATCCAAATACAGAAATAACGGGATATTATGCATTACGATAAAGTGTACAGAAACTACGGTTTAGTGCGTCTGTCTGGATGGTTCTGCTTTTTATTAAATGTTTGTAATCAATTCTATTTGTGCATATTTTCCGAATCAAATTTTCCTAGTTTTCTTTTTTGAGAGAGGTTATCTATAATTGCTTGAAAACTGCAAGTCTTGTTATGTAGGCCATTATGCCTTCTCATCAATGTGAACCACCAAGTACCTCCACAAGAAAGAAGCTAAAATTTGTTGGGTGGCATCAAATCCAGGTCATATTGTTCATGTCAAAACCATGCCGTGACCATAAGATTTTAGGAGGCCTATAAACTCAGATTTGAACAAATAAATGAAGCACACCCACAAGTTGTGGCGTTGATCGAGCTTTCTAGGGTTTAGGGTAAAAGAGAAGTATGTTACCTTCGAACTTGTAATCTTTTTCAACTTTGTAAGGAGAAGCACCACCGAACTACCATCTCTTCCAACATTGGAAAGAGAAGTATCGTCGGATAGACTAAGACCTATTTCAACATTGTAAAAAGAAGTATCAGTAGATTGTAACTCGATTTGTAACGTGAACCGCTATTGAGTACTTCCATTAGAAAGAAGCCATAGATTTGTCGGGTGGTCTCCCTCAGTTGAAAGGGCATGTTTTCCCATACACACATCCATGCATGTACTCAGCAGTTGTATGCAAAATTTCATGGATTCTAGTGCTTGTATATTCTACCTCTCCACCCCCACACCCCCAATCAGATGGGTCATGTTTATCACCAATATTTGGTGACCATTATTTTATGGGATGAATGTTGGCTTGCTGCTTCTCTCTTCTACCACTTTTCACAGACAAATCTGTGGAAGAACTCAAAACCCTAAAATAATTATGAGTATAAAAAACAAGAAGAACTACACAAAACAAGTTGGCAAGTTTTGTGTTTTCTTACTAATCAGAATATGCAATTGTTCTTCCATAGTACGTACTATTTAGTGGTATGAAAAATCAACAGTTTCGGTCTTGTATGTAGGGATGTAATGAGTCTTGCAATGATTCGAACTTACATAAAACTTGTACCACTGAGTAAGACGTAGCATTTTAACTAGACCCCATATTCTATTCTTTCTTTCTTTTTATCTGTAGTCACCCCGAACCCCTGTTTTTCTGCACAAGGGTGATGAGTTGAATTCTTTCTTCAGTTTTCTCCTTCGCTTGCACGCAAAGATTCATTGAAGCACACAACGATATGAATAGTGTGATGGGAGATTGGGATGTGGGTGTGCGATCCAAGATGGGACCAGCATACCATCTGTATTCGTTCTAGTTTGGGGAAACTTGTACAGATTGACCAACTTGTGTATAGGTCACTATGGTATTCCGTATTGATCGATTCGTCTGATGCGTAGCTTTTTTATTTGAGTTTTTACCTGCAAAGAGTTTGAAGTTAAAGTGATTAAGAGTATTTATCTATGCATCAAAAATTTTATATTGAATATCCACCCCATATATTCTCATCAAAAGGTTGTCAAATAACGGTTTAAATAGCAGTGTGAAAACCTTCAATAGTGACCCTCTTGGTGTGGATGTACATAAAGGTTACAAAACGCCACCCTTGAATGTATTACGATGGGAAAATGAAAATTTTCTGACGTCAATCCTAATCATCAGATAACCACTTAGTATTACGACCTCATAGAAAATTCGCTCCTTGGCAATGACCTATTAGCAACTATGAATGAACATGGATACGTGCTGGTCAATAACAAGAAGAAGAAACAACTTGGATAACTAGGTCAAGTATGATTTAGTATAAGAATAAACGTCTTCAAATAGACATATATTAAAACTTGAAAAAAAATGGGAAGACGTTGAGCCTCATACAATTTAGTCACCTGAACATGTACTAATTTTCTAGAGAGATTGTCTACTTGAACTATATTTTGTAAGTCATATTATGTAACGATTGATGGTTAAGATTTTTTATATTTTTTATTTTTTTAAATATAATCTAAAAACATGCTTTCTCTAGCTTTTTATTTTTATTTTTTCTGTCTCGTTTCAATTTGATCGAATGACATCTTATGGATGGCACAAATTGATGCTCTACTAAACTCAGCTGGAAGGGGCGACAAGACCCCGAGTGTCACCAACGCAACGACAAACTAGATCTACTGACTAAGAGGGGCAACATGGTCATTAAAAAAAAAGAGTTTTAACGAAAAATCTATGGTACTGTTCATTTTAACGAAAAATCACATTTTTACACTAAAAAGTCAATACTGGTACTATTCACTTTACCCTTTATTTTGTCTTTATCATTCAAACTCAAAATTTTCAAACTCTTTCATTAGTTTTCTTTTTAAAAAAAAAAAAAGATAATGAACGGTATTCAGTACAGTACAGATCTAAGCATGGATAAAGTTGTAATATCACCCAACATTAAAGGGCATTTCAGCAATCCTATCTTTTTATAAAGAGCGAGGCAAAGCAACACTTTGAGGACTCAGCCTTCAGAATCTCAGCACAGCAGAGAGCACAAGCAAAAGCAAAAGCAAAAATCCCCTTTCAAATTTCAGCAACTATGGCAATGGCTTTCAAGATGGTATATTTGTCAATTCCGTTCTTTCAATCCAATCGATTCATGCGGTTGCGAGTAATGTTTATTTTTATGTTTATGTTTATGTTTACTTGAATTGATTCGCGCGCTTGCGAGTAATATTTATTTTATTTATTTATTCGTTTGAGGAGAAAAGGCCACAACTGGGATGTGGGTGACCGATGAATGCAAGAACTCATTCATGGAGATGAAATGGAAGAAGGTTCACAGATACATTGTTTTCAAGATCGATGAGGAATCGAGGCTGGTGACCGTTGATAAAGTTGGTGGGCCAGGGGAAAACTATGATGATCTGGCAGCCTCCTTGCCCAAAGATGATTGCAGATATGCAGTCTTTGATTTTGATTTTGTCACTGTTGATAACTGCAGGAAGAGCAAACTCTTCTTCATTGCTTGGTCAGTCATTAATCACTTCTTTCTCATTTCTTTAGTTTTCCATTTTTTATTCAGAATTAAGATTAAGATGTTGGTATTTAATCATGATAATCATGGGAATTTTGTATTAATTGGGGTGACATTTTTGGTTAGTGGGAATATTTGTGACTTGTTTGGAATACCCAATTTTGGTGCACCATCATTCATCATGGTCCATTGGTACATGGTTTTCTTTTCCAATGGGTTTTCCGCACCTAATTTTGGATTTATAAAATATCCTCTGCTTACTTGTCACATTAGAAAAAATAGCGACATTTAATCTTTAGAGAAGGTCTGAGTTCAAATCTCAAGAATGACAATTGTTAATAAAAAATAAAAATAAAAATAAAACTATACCATGTTTTTTGAAGGGTGGTGATTTTCACGCCCGTTTTCTCGTCTGCACTTCTCCCTTTGTTTATGCCTATTGATTGTCATTTGATTCATTCAATCTAAGGCGAAAAAGACAAGGGAAGAGTCCATGCGACAAACAAGAGTGCGGAATTCACTTCTTGTTTAATCGCTTCCCTATTTTATATTCACATAAGCCACATTTTGTTTAACAAGTAATAGGAGAATCTGGAGGTGATGTGAATTTTTGGGATTTTTTACAGGTCACCAAGTGAATCAAGGATTAGGGCCAAAATACTATATGCAACCTCCAAAGCTGGGCTGAGGAGAGTTTTAGATGGCATCAGCTATGAACTTCAGGCGACCGATCCGACCGAGATGGGGATGGATGTGATCAAGGACAGGGCTAAATAATTGTGATTAGAGCAACTTAATCATGTTCTGGAATCCTACTTTAAATTAATAACTCCAGCCACATGGGGTTTTTAGACCTGTTAAACGGGTCATGTTTATTGTTTTCGTATCACACATGTTATGTTAATGGATCGTGTCATGTCAAATCTGTTATCTTAACGGATTCTTAACAGGTGACCCGATAACGATCTAACTCATTAACAGGTCAAATCATTTCGTGTCGAGTTAATAGGCCATGTCTAGACCTTGCAAATAGGTCATGTTCGTATCGTGTTTGTGTCATATTTGTTGATAATGGGTGACCTAGTAATGATCCAACTTGTTAACGGATTGATCCAAAATCTATTATTTTCGTGTCGTTTCGTGTTGAATTAACGGGTCGTGCAAGAAATTACAATGTCTAGTTTTTTTCTTCTTTCTTCTTGGTGGAATCTTTATTGTTCACCTTCTCTTAATAATATTTTTGGCACTAATGTAAGTTAATCCTCTAATTTGTAATAATAATTGTGTGCTAATTAACGAGGAAAGTTACCCCAACTTTCTCTTCATGTAAACTTTCAAATGAATGAATGTGCCTCTCTGAGTGTGTTGATATATTTGGCTTTTGGCAAAAATGACCTTTCGCTTTGAAAGAAGGTGGTGGTATTGGTAGGTCAAACTGTCCTTTCGCTTTGTTCTTTTTTTTTTATTTGTGTATTTATTTTAAGAAGAAAATTGTTGCAAATGGTGTGTCAATTTTCCCTTTTTTAATATTCAAATTAAGTTAAAAAAACCAACTTTAGAAAATATAAAAAGCCCAAAAAGGAGCCAGCTCATAACAAAAAAAAACTCCATAAATTTGGAGAGAAAAACAGCAGCCACCACCAAGTCATTTGTGCCTCCATCACATGACACCATCAAGAGAATGAATTAACGAAACAATTGGATCAACAAAAAATAGAGGTGAGTAAGCCACTCGCGCAGTGGGTGCTTTCATAATCCTATCAAATATTGCCAGAAGCACTTTAAAAATCACCCAAGACCAAAGTGCACCGCCAAAGAGAGACACCCGACAAGTTGAGTAGCGAAGGTTGATGGTTTAAGAATAAGTGACATGAAACAACAATTGAGTAGGAGAGCAAAGTGAAAGCCCAGAGACAAGCTCGTAAATTGAGACAAAAGCTCAGACAAGGGCACCAAAACAAGGGCTGAAGCTAATAATGAGAGAGATAATCTTAGGTTTTGGTCTTTCCGCGAGAGAGAGTTGAGTTGATCCACATAAGATGTGAGTTAGTAGGGGCATTTGTCGATTTTCATTGTTATTATCTAAATGTGAGTTAGTAGGGGCATTGTCAATTTTCATTGTTTTTAATCACTTTTGCAGACAATAGGTTGGCCATAGTATTTACTAATGAGTCGACTCGCACTTTATTGAATTGATGATCGATGGGTAAGTCTAAACTTATCCAAAATGACAACGAGAAAATTTATGTGTGATCCAATGTACTTTTTTGTGTATCAAATACTCGTGGACAAAAGTTGAAAAATGTTAAATTGCTTTTCATGGATAAGGGTTTTTTCTTCTTCTTAATGTATTTTAATGAAAATAATAATAATAATAATGTAAGATAAAATTATGATAAAAACAAAGAGAGGTATGTAAAAAATTAAAAAAGAACCGTAAAAATTAGCTCCCTTATAAAAGTATAGTGGTTACAAGTAAAGAGCTCAAATTTCATTTCGTCATTAAGGGGAGATGAAGGATAGGCAGCTTTCTACTCCTCATATATTATCACCAACTTAAACATTTATTTCAAATATAAATTTGGGTCCTATGGAAACATTTAAGTAAAAAGTTTTATCTCAAAATACGTCTATGCAATTCAGAGTTCCTACTAAATATACATCATTTAGACAATCACTTTTCCGACATGGGACGATTGTATTTGATCCACAATTCCTAAAAGGACGAGGCAAAAAGAAGTTGGGCATTGATGATTTGATGTCATGTATTGCCATCTTCTTGTTAACTTTATCTTGTGAAACTCTTGTTAGTTGTTACCACCCTCCTGTGTTTGTTATAATGTCAATAATTTCTTTGGGCGTTGATCGATTGATTTACTACATTTTGCATTATATCTTTGGGCTGTTGCAACCACCAGAATCACACCACAATTATTTGAGTGGCATGCCTTGTGCCAACCGCTAACAAGCCAATCATCACCATCATTTTTTTTAATATTTAAGCTGCGGAGGTAAATCTTTCAATTATAATTTAATAAAATATATCATTCGACCAAAAAAAAAAAAAAAAAAAATCATAACCTTCTGCACGAAATTAGGATACTAGCTTCCGAATTTTTATGTAATTACTCATTTGGTTTCTTTTTTCCTGTACGTTTTTATGGAAATTATTGGTTTGGTATGAGGATAATTATGCATTGGGGCCTAGTTCTTGCAAAAAGAAAACTGTATTAGATCTTATCAAATAAGGAACTGTGATATTACCATTATAAGTTACGCTAAGAGAAAGAAAAAATGCCTTTACCCATAAAACAATGAGGTGAAGATGGAAATACTTTCCACCGGGCAATAACACTTGCACTTTGTTATTGAAAGATACTATAACAAATCAAAAAACTAATAAAAATGTCTTCAAAATTTTAAATTTTAACTAAAATTGTAACTTTATTTAATAGTTAAAACAAAACGTCATATTAATAAATCCAATAAAATTGACCGGATTGCTAATTTTTTCTATCTCTTGTTCATTTTCCACTGGCCCCACCACTCACTCTTTCTTTCTTGAGTGCATTTTTGCTCACCATTATTTAGTTTGATGTATGCTCACCATCTTATTTATCACCATTACATGAGTCGAAATTTTGAGATTTGTGCATATGTACTACACGAATCTCGAAATTCAAACACATCTAACAGTGATAAATAAGATAATAAACATACATCACACTAAATAGTGATGAGCAAAAAATACTTCATTTTTTTCTCTTTCTCCTCTCTTTTCTCTCACCCCTCCCTCTTCTTTTACCCAGCCCCACTTCCTCTGTTTCTTTTATTGTCTTCTCTCCTCTCGTCCACTTCTCTTTTCATTCCCCTCTCCCTTCTTCCACCTAGACGCACCCCACTTTCTCTCTTTATGTGTGTGTGTGTAAATTATTATATTTTACTACCTCATCTTTAAATTCTATAACAATCTCATATCTCATTTTTTTAAAACAATGAAATTTTATACATTAACTTATAAATTCATTGTAATGTTAAACATTCGTCATCTTTTCTGTTGATTTTTATATCAAATGTTGACGTAGCATGCGCATGACCCACTTACTCGCCCAACTGGAACTCCAAATTGACTTTATTAAACACGTAGATCCTCCCATTGATTGACATGTGGAATTGAGAATGAACTAAAAGAAGAAAAAAAAATAAAGAATTTTAATGAAAAACTTCTGATACTGTTCACTTTAACGAAAAACCATATTTTTATACTAAAAAATCAATCCTGATACTATTCACTTTACCATTTATTTTGCCCTTATAATTAAAACTCAAAGTTTTCAAACAATTTTCATTAGTTTTCCTAAAAAAAAAATTGAAAAATTGCTCAACGAAAAATGGGCTAAACGTTGTGGCATGGTGCTACCATGGTGTGTGTTCACAGTGAAAAAAACCACCCACCAATCATAAACTATCTCAAACAGCATAATGAAGCAACAAAAACAAAAATCCTTAATCCATCAAACAAAGCAAAAACAAAACCAATTTCACAACTTTACTAAAAAATCAGAAACCCCAACAAGCTAAAATCCCTGATTTTTCAAATTTCTACATTATTGATCATGACCCCAACCACAACAACCCCATGGGTTTGCTCCGACTACGACGATGAGGGCAACGGTGTGTGCAAGATGACTGCAGGTCATCGATCTCGCCAGAAAACAATGAGCGCTTCAGGTGTGACTGAAGGAGGCAGAATAATCGAAGAAGACGATGCCTCGAAATGGCATTGTTGTTATCTTCAATTGATAAATCAACACTGCTGAAGGTGGGACCAACGACGTCGAAAGACGTGTGGGCTTGCAAGCTTCAGTCAATTCGGAGCGGCGGGATGAAGGTTGTGACCAAATTCGGAGAAGAAGGGGTCAAGAGATCTCCCTGGTGGGAGAAAGAGTGTTTTTTTCCATTAATTTTTTTAGAAAAAAAAATCTTAATTTATTAATATTTAATTAATTTTTCAATCCACTTGGGAGAGAGTGTAAGTACCTCGCCTGCCACGTTAGTATTTAAAAGAAAATTTGACGGAGGTCTGACACTGCAACGAATTAGTAAGTAGATGTTTTAAAGACGAGATATGAGATTGTTATGCAATCCAAAGTTGAGGTGGTAAAACGTAATTTACCCTATTTATGTAAAAATATCTTATAAGATTAGAACTTGTTTTGTCAAATTTTAAAAGATTAGATTGAAATTATTATCAATTGTAATTGTCTAAAAAAAACACATTGTTATACAACGGAGATTTTTTTTTTTTTAAAAGTATAATGTTATAAATTATTTGTATAGAAATAGTGTTACACTCTCTTAAAATAGTGTCATTAACTAGAAGCGGTGACCACTATTTCTAGAAGTAGAGACATTGTTTCTAGTAATAGTGTCACTGTTTTTAGGAATGGTGGCACAGTTTATAGAAATTGTGGCACTGGTTCTAGAAATAGTGTCATTGTTTTTAAGAATGGTGTCACCATTTCTAGAAATAGTACAACTGTTCCTAAAAAAAGTGTCACCATTTCTAAAAAAACTAAAAAAGTTGAGTAATGTTATAAATAGGCAAAAGTTAGAGAGATAACCTTTGCTAAGGACATGAGCGAAGTAGGTGCAAAATATCACACTATAACTATAACACAAAAGGATGACAGATAAAGAGAGGGAGAGATACTGATATTATTTTTTTGATTCTTTCTTTTGCAGTGTGTTTTGGTAGCACACGAAGTGTTTTATTTATAGAGCAACTCTCGTAATAACAACCATCCAAATACAATGATGGCACTTTTGAAAGTATCAAATACTATTCCTAAGTCTTTATTCCTTTGAGTGGGCATTCACCCACTAATTCTAAAACACTCTCCCTTTGGATGCCCACATATCAACATCAGTTACCTCGTTAAAACCTTACTCAGAAAAACCCAGTGGGAAAAAACCATAGCAAAGTAAAAAGAGTACAACTTTAACTGAATTGTTAATATATTGTTATGTATGCTTATGTTGCCTCGTTAAAACCTTGATAGGAAAAATCCAATGGGAAAAATCCTAATCAAAGGAAAAAGAGTA